ACTTAAATCAAGACACAATAAAAAGAGAGCAGGACAGGTAATGTGTTGTGACTGCAGAATGTGGGAGTTCCTGGAAGCCAGTATGATACAAGGTAAACACATCTACATTGTTTGCAGCTTGAGTAGTTTCAGTCCGCAGTTTATGAGTGGGAGGTGGAACTACAGGCACATCAGAGAGGGGGCAATGAGAGCACAGCAGCACAGTGGTTAGCACTGCTGCCTCACAGTGTCAGGGACACGGGTTCAATTCCACCGTCAGACAACCATCTGTGTATAAGTCCTCCCGATATCTGCGTGAGTTTCCTTTGGGTGCTCCGGTTTCCACCCACTGTGAAAAGGTGCGCAGGTTAGGGGCAATGGTCATGCTAAATTGGCCTGTAGTGTCTAGGGATGTGTAGCCATGATGTGGAGGTGCCAGTGTTGGACTGAGGTGGACAAGGTCAGAAGTCAGACGACACCAGGTTGTAGTCCCACAGGTTTATTTGAAATCATGAGCTTTAGAAGCTTGGCCCCTTTGTCAGGTTAAAGTCACTTGGACTATAACTTGGTGTCATCTGACTTCTGACCTAGGGATGTGTAGGCTAGGTGGATTAGTCATGGTAAAATATACAGTTATGGGGGTAGGGTAGGGGTCTGGGTCTGGATGGGATGCCCTTTGGAGGATTGGTGTGGACTTAATAGGCTGAATGGTCTCTTTCCACACAGTAGGGATTCTATGATTCTAATTGCCTGGACACTTTATTCCAGGAAAGGGCACACTCTTTAGGATAGGGTCCACAGGTTCGGCCAGGGAAAGGAGGGAGCAACTGTGAGTGAGGCAGCTAAGGGCTGGAATGCAGGGCCTCAGTATTTGAAATTGTCTAACAGGCTCAAGGCTCTTTCAGCTTGTTTGAATGAGGGTCAGGGCTGCAGAGTGGATGAGCTAACTGAGCAGTGCTAAAGGAAGCCATTCAACTGGGAAGAGCAAAAAGCTATGTAGTAGCAGTATCGGAAATGATCAGAGAGGGAGATTAAAACATTCTCTGCAGCAAAGAGCAAGAATCCTGAAGGCTGCGTTGCCTGCTCAGTGCCAGGGTTTGGCCCAATCTCTTTAGAGCTAGAGCGGATCCTGCAGTTGGGAGGTTGGAGGTGGGAGGTGGGGTTGCAAAATTTCAGGTTATTGTGGTCTATGCAGGTACCAACAACATAGGCAGGACAAGGATAAAGTTCTGCATGGTCGATTTATGGAGCCATGCACAAAATTAGGAAACAACGTCAAAAGGGAAATTAATAATTGAAAATCAAAAGATGACTGATGAATTGAACAGGTATTTCGCAGCAGTATTTTACACCAGAAATGGCTGTAAATCAATAAATGAATTGAGGGAGCAACTCAAGAAAATTATAATCACAAGGGAAGTGGTAAGACCATGCGAACATGAGATGAAGGAGCAGAAGTATACCCTCCAGGCCACTGAATGCCGGAGCAGACCAATGAGATCACAGTCAATGTGATAATTGTTAACTTCATTTTCCCACCTTATCCCCTTAACCCTGCATTCTCTTACAGATTAAGAACCTGTGTGTCTCAGCCTCAAAAGACCCAGCCTCTACATCCCTCTGTAATAAAGAATTCCACAGATTCATAACCCTCAGACAGGAAAAAAAAATTCCCCCTCATCCCTGACTTAAATGTATAACCGTTAGTCTGAAATGGTGCCCTCTGGTCTTAGACTCTTCCACAAGGGAAAACGACCTCTCCTCATCTACATTGTCAAGTCCCTTTAAGAATCTTGTATGTTTCAATAAGGTCACCTCTCATTCTTCTAAATTCCAATGAGTACAGGTCCATCCTACTCAATCTCTCCAGAACTGATATCAGCCTTGTGAATAAAGGGATAACAAGGTGTAGAGCTGGATGAACGCAGCAGGCCAAGCAGCATCAGAGGAGCAGGAAAGCTGACGTTTCGGGCCTAGACCCTTCTTCAGAAA